AGGAGGATCAGGTGTCCCTCTAAACCTTGGAGCCAACAGGACGAGTCCATCATCAGGACCCTTGTGTCTGTAGGTCATCTTCTCTTTTCTTACATCTGTACCTACAGCTGCTTTCATGTTTTACTCTTTCACTTTGTGAGTCAGGTTCAACCAATCAGCTCTGACTTTTGTCCCTCAGGTCCTCACAGCAGAGGAGCAGGGGGCGGGGCTTCAGCAGCCCACAGGGATCGGACAGAGACCCCGACCCATGTCATCAGAGGAGGGACCCCAGATCTCTATGAGGAACTCAAAGAGCCCACAAATACCCCCCCAGTCCACCAGCGACAGGTGAGGAGACGACTCACACACGAGGCTCACTGACACACCGACCAATCAAAACCCCTGGAGGCTCACTGACACACCGACCAATCAAAACCCCTGGAGGCTGACTGACACACCGACCAATCAAAACCCCTGGAGGCTCACTGACACACCGACCAATCAAAACCCCTGGAGGCTGACTGACACACCGACCAATCAAAACCCCTGGAGGCTCACAGACACACCGACCAATCAAAACCCCTTGAGGCTGACTGACACACCGACCAATCAAAACCCCTTGAGGCTCACTGACCAATCAAAACCCCCGGACACATCCTGCAGACTCAGGCAATTAGACATTAAAAGACGTTTGTTGTTGTTTGTGTCAGGTTGTGCAGGACTCCAGCCAGTTCAGGACGTCCTCAGGTGAAAGCTAACAGCAGAGACGAGACCTTACTGTGTGAAGACCCCGCCTCCTCCACTAACTCCTCCTCTGTGGACACTCCCTCTGACAGCCCCGCCTCCTCAGGAAAGGTAACCACTGTGAAACCCTCTGTGTGTTGTTCTCACCTGTGACGTCGTCTGATGCTGATTTAAAAAGGATCAGAAAACAGACCACACACACATTCCTCGTCCTTATTTACCTGTAAAATCATTACCCACAATGCACTTAGAGCACTCTTCTCACCGCTCTGTCTGCTCACCGCTCTGTCTGCTCATCCCTCTGTCTGCTCACCGCTCTGTCTCCTCATCCCTCTGTCTGCTCACCGCTCTGTCTCCTCATCCCTCTGTCTCCTCATGGCTCTGTCTCCTCATCCCTCTGTCTCCTCATGGCTCTGTCTCCTCATGGCTCTGTTTCCTCATGGCTCTGTCTCCTCATCCCTCTGTCTCCTCATGGCTCTGTCTCCTCATGGCTCTGTTTCCTCATGGCTCTGTCTCCTCATCCCTCTGTCTCCTCATCCCTCTGTTTCCTCATGGCTCTGTCTCCTCATCCCTCTGTCTCCTCATCCCTCTGTCTCCTCATCCCTCTGTCTCCTCATGGCTCTGTCTCCTCATGGCTCTGTCTCCTCATCCCTCTGTCTCCTCATCCCTCTGTCTCCTCATCGCTCTGTCTCCTCATCCCTCTGTCTCCTCATCGCTCTGTCTCCTCATCCCTCTGTCTCCTCATCCCTCTGTCTCCTCATCCCTCTGTCTCCTCATGGCTCTGTCTCCTCATCCCTCTGTCTCCTCATCCCTCTGTCTCCTCATCCCTCTGTTTCCTCATGGCTCTGTCTCCTCATGGCTCTGTCTCCTCATGGCTCTGTCTCCTCATGGCTCTGTCTCCTCATGGCTCTGTCTCCTCATCCCTCTGTCTCCTCATCACTCTGTCTCCTCATGGCTCTGTCTCCTCACCGCTCTGTCTCCTCATCGCTCTGTCTCCTCATGGCTCTGTCTCCTCACCGCTCTGTCTCCTCACCGCTCTGTCTCCTCATGGCTCTGTCTCCTCACCGCTCTGTCTCCTCATGGCTCTGTCTCCTCACCGCTCTGTCTCCTCATCACTCTGTCTCCTCACCGCTCTGTCTCCTCACCGCTCTGTCTCCTCACCGTTCTGTGTTCCTCATCCCTCTGTCTCCTCATGGCTCTGTCTCCTCACCGCTCTGTCTCCTCACCACTCTGTCTCCTCACCGCTCTGTCTCCTCACCGCTCTGTCTCCTCACCGCTCTGTCTCCTCACCGCTCTGTCTCCTCACCGTTCTGTGTTCCTCATCCCTCTGTCTCCTCATCCCTCTGTCTCCTCATGGCTCTGTCTCCCTGCAGGCGTCTCACTCGGCGTCTCCTCAGCTGCTTCTCTCTTCCATGAGATATTTCATCATGAAGAGCAGCAACATGAGGAACATCGAGATCTCGCAGCAGAGAGGGATCTGGTCCACCACGCCGAGCAACGAGACCAAACTGAGCCGAGCCTTCATTGAGCACAGCATCATCATCCTGGTCTTCTCTGCGCAGGGCTCAGGACACTTCCAGGTAAACCCAGAGGAGACACACCTGCAGCACACAGGTCCAGAGGAGACACACCTGCAGCACACAGGTGATAATCTGTGGACTTCACATGATGTTTGTGATGTCTCCTAGGGTTACGCTCGCATGACGTCGGCTGTCAGCAGGGAGAGCTGTCAGGACTGGGGCCTTGTGGGTCTGGGGGGGGTGTTCAGTGTGGACTGGATCCACAGAGAGAGTTTACCTTTCCACTGCAGCCAGCACATCGTGAACCCCTGGAACGACCACAAGAAGGTGCAGATCAGCAGGGACGGACAGGTGAGTCTGTTTAGGCCAGATGTCGTCTTGCAGGAGTTCTCCTTATGTTAAAGTGTTATTCCCTCTGTGTCGTCTTGCAGGAGTTGACTTATGTTAAAGTGTTATTCCCTCTGTGTCGTCTTGCAGGAGTTGACTTATGTTAAAGTGTTATTCCCTCTGTGTCGTCTTGCAGGAGTTGACTTATGTTAAAGTGTTATTCCCTCTGTGTCGTCTTGCAGGAGTTGACTTATGTTAAAGTGTTATTCCCTCTGTGTCGTCTTGCAGGAGTTGACTTATTTTAAAGTGTTATTCCCTCTGTGTCGTCTTGCAGGAGTTGACTTATGTTAAAGTGTTATTCCCTCTGTGTCGTCTTGCAGGAGTTGACTTATTTTAAAGTGTTATTCCCTCTGTGTCGTCTTGCAGGAGTTCTCCTTATTTTAAAGTGTTATTCCCTCTGTGTCGTCTTGCAGGAGTTGACTTATTTTAAAGTGTTATTCCCTCTGTGTCGTCTTGCAGGAGTTCTCCTTATTTTAAAGTGTTATTCCCTCTGTGTCGTCTTGCAGGAGTTGACTTATTTTAAAGTGTTATTCCCTCTGTGTCGTCTTGCAGGAGTTCTCCTTATTTTAAAGTGTTATTCCCTCTGTGTCGTCTTGCAGGAGTTGACTTATTTTAAAGTGTTATTCCCTCTGTGTCGTCTTGCAGGAGTTGGAGCCTCATGCAGGCAGTCAGCTGTTGTTACTGTGGGACAGAAACTCATCTGCTCAATAAGAAGATGACAGATTTGTCCCTCCTCCCTGTAAAATGACAGAAGTTTGTATTTTTATACGTCTTTAAGAAGTTTGATTTCATCAGTACTGAGAGAGTTCAGAGACATGAACTGATTTAGTGTTAAGCTCTTGTGTTCTCCTGTTTCGCTGTTTCATCAGTTTATGAAGGTACCATTAACTCAGGCTGCTGTGATGATGATGACCAAGTTCTGTTTATAAGAAGTGGACGTCTTCACTGTTTGTCCTCCACTGTTTACAAGTTTGATGTTTGCCATGCGGAGCAGGATATGACCATATATGGACAAAAGGGTGGTCATCATGTGAGCATGTGATTAGCAAGTGCTAAGCTATCAGCTATAGCAAGTCTGTGACATTAATAAGGTAAAGGCTAATAACACACACACATACTTTCTTTTAGTACAGCCAAACTCTGATCAGTTTTCTGGTTGCCATGGTAGCAGCCTGTCAGTCACATGTAGGCCCGCCCCCAACTCCTTCCCCTCTTTTGCTCCTTTTGACCCAAAATGGGACCAAAATGTAACGACTAATGAACGTCATGATGTGAGGAAGACTTGAGACTGAGACTTTAAACAACCAGACATAACACCCTCTTCTTATAAACAGACCTGTGTGTGTGTGTGTGTGTGTGTGTGTGTGTGTGTGTGTGTGTGTGTGTGTGTGTGTGTGTGTGTGTGTGTGTGTGTGTGTGTGTGTGTGTGTGTGTGTGTTTGTACAGCTCGTCGTCAAGTTCAGAGTGTTAAAATGTTCTTTATGTTAAAGCCTCACTAAATATTCATGAAATTCATCAGTGAACTTTTTACTGTTGAGTGTGTGTATAAACATATATTTATGTTTATTTGTTGTTAGACTGAGGAGATGTTTGATGAGTCAATAAAATGATAAATATTCCTCCTTACAGCCTGACGGCGTCTCATTTAAACAAGTCAGGGTCCCTGACACTCCTCTGTGTGTGTGTGTGTGTGTGTGTGTGTGTGTGTGTGTGTGTGTGTGTGTGTGTGTGTGTGTGTGTGTGTGTGTGTGTGTGTGTGTGTGTGTGTGTGTGTGTGTGTGTGTGTGTGTGTGTGTGTGTGTGTGTGTGTGTGTGTGTGTGTGTGTGTGTGTCTCTCTCTCTTCGTTAAAACATTAAACTTTTAAACGTTTAACAGAAGAAGATAAATTAAAGTTCTCCACTCATTTCATTCACTTTTCTTTGGAGACAAAAACAAAAATCAGATGAAAGTACAGATTCTGGATTATTTAACAAAATAAGAGAAGCTGAATAATTCATGATAATTAATTTAATTAAACTGTTTTATTAATTTAAAGAATGACGTCATCACTGGTTGTGATTTATTATCAGTGAGAATAACTTCTTTAATGTAGTGATTCATTTCTTACCTGAGTGCTGACGTCATCACTGTAAACAGTACTGGGCCGTGGTTGTCATGGAAACGCCGCTGCTCAGTGAAGTGTGTCCGCCGCGCCAGGAGTTACTGCCTCGCTCTGATTGGCTGCTGCTCTCTCACCAGACATCGTACCCGTGACGCCATTGGGCCGCCGATACGGCTCCTGCGCGTGGTGGTAGTTCTTGACCGCTGATTGGCCGGGAGTCTACGGGACTTTCTAACGCGCATGTCATCTGTGAGCTGTGATTGGACGGAAGGTCCGGTGCTGCAGTGAAGGCTGTCCGCTGCTCGGTCACCGTCACGTATAAATACCGTGACACCGGACCGGTGAGTTCCACACTAATATCACGGAGTTCACGTTTTACCTCCCGGAAGTCACCGTAACACACAGGTAAGATGTCACCTGTTACAACCTGACAGGTCAGCTGAAGCTCTGTTAGCACCCTGCTAACACTGCGCTCATACAAACACCAGTAAACTCTTGCTAATGCTAATGCTAAGCTGCTTTGGGAGCGGGTCCGTCAGATAATGTGTCCGGGTAGAAACGTGACTCGAGCTGTTTCTAAATATAATTATATAAATGTATGTATTTATATTCATATAGTGTTTGTTTAAACCGGTTAGCTTCTGTGCTAACAGCCGGTGTGTTCACTGTATTACGTGAACTATCATGAAATCCCGTCGGTGACCTTTGACCCAGTGAGCTGCTCTCCGTTATCTAAAGATGATTCTAGTAAATAATCACAGATATCGAGTTTCACTAACACAAGTTAAAGTTTTAATGATCTTAAATGTTCTCTGTTTGAACGTCATTTATTCACCTTCATGATTATTAATAAATAAAATAACTAACTGTCAAACTCTGAGCTAACATATGCTCCAGTTAGCTAACCTGTGTCCGTTAGCTCTGTTAGTCTGGGTAATGTAGTTTATAAATGTGAAGTAAAGCAGACAGGTAATAATATCTAATGAACGCATTGAGTATCAGAATAATCCTACAGCAGCTAGAGAGCTGACATGCTAACTGGTGTAGTGGTGAAAAGAGAGACCGTGCTAACTGGTGACTTTCTGCATTCTTGTTTAGTTTTTAATGTCAGATATTCTGATCAGACACGTAAAGCAAACTGAAGAGGCATCATGGGACAACCACCGGCTCACGGTGCTGAAAGACACCTGTTGACACGGTCACTCTTTAAACCGTTACACCGGCTCACGGTGCTGAAAGACACCTGTTGACACGGTCACTCTTTAAACCGTTACACCGGCTCATAGTGCTGAAAGACACCTGTTGACACGGTCACTCTTTAAACCGTTACACCGGCTCACGGTGCTGAAAGACACCTGTTGACACGGTCACTCTTTAAACCGTTACACCGGCTCACGGTGCTGAAAGACACCTGTTGACACGGTCACTCTTTAAACCGTTACACCGGCTCATAGTGCTGAAAGACACCTGTTGACACGGTCACTCTTTAAACCGTTACACCGGCTCATGTTGCCCCCTCCCCCCAATCCTCTTGTGTCCCCCCCCTCAGGATGCCAGGATCCGCCTCGATCAGCTGTTTGGGACCGTGGCCCAAAGATGTAGGCATCATGGCCTTGGAGCTGTACTTCCCGTCTCAGTACGTGGACCAGGCGGAGCTTGAGCAGTTTGATGGCGTGGCGGCGGGTAAATACACGGTGGGACTGGGTCAGGCTCGAATGGGTTTCTGCTCAGACTGCGAGGACATCAACTCGCTGTGCCTGACGGTGGTGCAGAGGCTGATGGAGAAGAACAACCTGTCCTACGACAGCGTGGGCCGGCTCGAGGTCGGCACAGAAACCATCATTGACAAATCCAAGTCGGTGAAGACGGTCATCATGCAGCTGTTCGAGGACTCGGGGAACACGGACGTGGAGGGAATCGACACCACCAACGCCTGCTACGGAGGCACCGCCGCACTCTTCAACGCCGTCAACTGGGTGGAGTCCAGCTCCTGGGACGGTGAGGATGCACACAAACTTCCTGTTTAAAATATCAGGTGAAGTCTGGAGGCGGCCATGTTTGTTTGAATCTCTAGAATGTAGCATCATGCTAATTCATGATGCTAACAGTGAAGTCTTGTTTTTAGTGAACTGTCCCTTTTAAACGTGGACCTGAAACCTGATTGGTTCAAAGGCTCGCCCTCTTAATGTGTCTCAGCTGGTCATTGATTGGTTGATTTGGAGGTTTTTGAACTCGTCATGGACGTGATCATGTGACCAGATGTTTCTCTTTGTGTCGTCTCTGCAGGTCGCTATGCGTTGGTGGTGGCGGGAGACATCGCCGTATACGCCACAGGAAGTGCTCGGCCTACTGGGGGCGCAGGAGCGGTGGCCATGCTGGTCGGTCCGAACGCTCCGCTGGCCTTTGAGCGAGGTGAGAACAGATGAGGAATGCTCAGTGTGACATCATGTGACCTCTGTTATAAACGACTTCCTGCCCTAAACAACTTCCTGTTATAAACGACTTCCTGCCCTTCCGCCCTATTCCGCTTCGTCCGGGTAGTGGGCGAGGGTCAGGCTCATTGGACTACGCAGTGATGCGGAGGAATCCTTCTGAAAAGCGACCGCACCCTCCACTCCACCCACTCACACCCCTAATCTCAAATTGTTTTTACGAGCCGGTAACGGCGGCTGTAGTTTCTTGTGTTTGTGGAGAATAAACGATTAAAGCGTCTTTGAACAGGAAGTCGTTTATAACAGGAAGTCGTTTAGGGCAGTAAGGGAAAGGAGTGTGGCTCAATACCCCCCTCCGGAGAGGGGAGGTGAGAGAGGCTCACGGACTTACGTTCAACGGGTTACCGCCGCTGCTAAAGGGCGACATGGAAAGCCAGAACCTGCACAGGCACGTCCAAACAATCGCCCTTTATTCATCTCTAAATAAACAGGATGTGTTAGTTTTGATCAGAGATGATTGAATGTGTGTCTCTGAAACATTTTAAAATAATATATATGTGCAGGTCTGAGAGGAACCCACATGCAGCACGCGTACGACTTCTACAAACCGGACCTGGTCTCTGAGTACCCCGTGGTGGACGGGAAGCTCTCCATAGAGTGCTACCTGAGCGCTCTGGACCGCTGCTACTCCGTGTACTGCAGTAAGATCCAGGCTCAGTGGCAGAGAGTAAGGGGTTCAAACCTTCAGCTGCTGATCTGCTCCTGATTGGCTGCTGGGATAACAGTGTAATGAGTTAAGAGGATGTGACCTCTGTGTTGAGATGACCCCTGACCCCGTCTTGTTCTGGTGTTTGTGACAGACGGCGTGGAGAAGCTGTTCAGCCTGGAGGACTTCGGCTTCCTGCTCTTTCACTCTCCGTACTGTAAGCTCGTTCAGAAGTCTTTAGCTCGCCTCATGCTCAACGACTTCCTGAGTCACCCGAGTCCCAACATGCAGAGCGGCGCCTTCACAGGACTCGAGGCCTTCAGGTACCGTGTGTGTGTGCATGCAAATGTCCTGGGAAATGATTCCAACACTCTTGTACAGAGTTTGACATTTTCACCGCTGCGCGTTAATTCTACAATTCACTCAGCAGACTCTTTTATCCAAAGCGACGTACATCAGAGAGTAAGAACAACACAAGCAAGGATCTAGAAAAAAGGGAACAATGTGAGTAAGAGCAAACGATCAGCTTTGAGTCTGATTGGACACACAGGTGCTGACAGGAAGTGACCAGAGGCAAAGCACAACATTGAGGGCAGTTCTTGAGAGCTCTAATCAGTATAGAAACCATCTTATAGGTCGTCGTTATCAAACAAAAACCATCGTCATTACCATCATCATCATCAATAATATGGAGACCATCATCATTAAGTTAGTAGGTATTCATGAAAGAGCTGGGTCTTTAGCTTTTTCTTAAAGGTGCAGAGGGACTCTGCAGATCACATGGAGTTTGGAAGTTCATTCCACCACCGGGGGGCGACAGAGGAGAAGAGTCTAGTCAGAGACTTAGGACCGTAGTGGGGGGGAGGGAGTGTAGACCTGGATCAGAGAGTTAAAGTAAGGAGGAGACGTTTCTGTGTCTGTTTTGTAATCGAGCAGCAGAGTTTTAAATTTGTTGTGAGCAGTAACTGGGAGCCAGTGTGAGGAGATGAACAGAGGAGTGACATGTGCTCTTTTAGGAAGGTTGAAGACCAGTCGTGCTGCTGCATTTTGTATCATCTGCAGAGGTTTGTGCATGTAGGAAGACCTGCCAGTAGAGAGTTGCAATAATCGATGCGTGATATCACAAGAGCCTGTACCTGAGCTATGTAGCATGAAGCATGTAGCATGTTCTGACAGGTAAGGTCTGATCTTCCTGATGTTGTTCAGGGCAAATCCACATGACCGGGCAATCGAGGCTACTTGAACCTTAAAAGTCAGCTGGTCATTAATCATGACACCCAGGTTCCTGCAGACATTGTGGGCATGAGTTTGGTTGTTCCAAGCTGGATATTGATCTGTGGTTGCATAGAGGGACTGGCTGGGATGACAAGGAGCTCAGTCTTTGAAAGATTGAGTTGAAGGAGCCGTTCATTCATCCATTTAGAGATATCAGCGAGGCATGATGAGATTCTTGCAGAGACTGTAACATCGTCTGGTGGGAATGACAGGAAGAGCTGGGTATCGTCAGTATAGCAGTGGTATGAGAAGCCATGAGAGTGGATTATTGAACCAAGTGACCTTGTGTATATGGAGAAGAGAAGGGGACCAAGCACTGACCCTTGAGGTACCCCTGTGGATAAGCTGTGCGCTTTGGACACTTCTCCCTTCCACAACACTCTAAAGGATCGCCCAGAGAGGTAGGACACGAACCAGCAGAGGGCAGATCCTGAGATGTTCAATCAATAAAGTATACATTATTATTATTATTATTATTATTATTATTATGTTCAGAGAGCGTGGACAGGAGGATTTGATGGTTGACTGTGTCAAAGGCAGCAGACAGGTCTAGCAGTAATAGAACTGAGGACTGACCAGCAGCTCTGGCAGCTCATAGCGATTCTGTTACTGATAGTAGTGCAGTTTCACTACTATCGAGTATCGAGCGAGTGGCCCCGCTTAAAGCCTGACTGATTTGGGTCAAACAGATCGTTTCTGGACAGGAACTCAGAGACTTGCTTAAAGACTGTGCGCTCAAGTATTTTTGACAGAAAGGGCAGAAGAGAAACCGGTCTGTAGTTTTCAACCTGGGTTGGGTTTAGTGTGGGTTTTTTGAGCAGAGGGGTGACCCGAGCTTGCTTAAATGCGGTTAATAAAAGTTTCTATTTGTTGCATAATCCACATCAAGGTCTATAGATAATGTAATGGTTGATCAGTGTGGCGGCTGGAAACCATCGTCATTTAAATACCACGCCCATATTTATTCACGGCTCAGCTGTCATCGCCCCCAGAGTTTACGGCATTGGAGATACTTAATACGGCAAAGAAGAGAAACGAGATATGACCTGAGTGACATCATAACAGAGAAGTAAAGATGTGAGTGACATCATAACAGAGAAGTAAAGATGTGAGTGACATCATAACAGAGAAGTAAAGATGTGAGTGACATCATAACAGAGAAGTAAAGATGTGAGTGACATCATAACAGAGAGAAGTAAAGATGTGAGTGACATCATAACAGAGAGAAGTAAAGACCTGAGTGACATCATAACAGAGAAGTAAAGATGTGAGTGACATCATAACAGAGAGAAGTAAAGACCTGAGTGACATCATAACAGAGAAGTAAAGATGTGAGTGACATCATAACAGAGAGCAGTAAAGACCTGAGTGACATCATAACAGAGAGCAGTAAAGACCTGAGTGACATCATAACAGAGAAGTAAAGACCTGAGTGACATCATAACAGAGAAGTAAAGACCTGAGTGACATCATAACAGAGAAGTAAAGACCTGAGTGACATCATAACAGAGAAGTAAAGACCTGAGTGACATCATAACAGAGAAGTAAAGACCTGAGTGACATCATAACAGAGCAGTAAAGACCTGAGTGACATCATAACAGAGAGAAGTAAAGACCTGAGTGACATCATAACAGAGAAGTAAAGACCTGAGTGACATCATAACAGAGAGACGTAAAGATGTGAGTGACATCATAACAGAGAGAAGTAAAGACCTGAGTGACATCATAACAGAGAAGTAAAGACCTGAGTGACATCATAACAGAGAAGTAAAGACCTGAGTGACATCATAACAGAGTAGTAAAGATGTGAGTGACATCATAACAGAGAAGTAAAGACCTGAGTGACATCATAACAGAGAGAAGTAAAGACCTGAGTGACATCATAACAGAGAGAAGTAAAGACCTGAGTGACATCATAACAGAGTAGTAAAGATGTGAGTGACATCATAACAGAGAAGTAAAGACCTGAGTGACATCATAACAGAGAGAAGTAAAGACCTGAGTGACATCATAACAGAGAGAAGTAAAGACCTGAGTGACATCATAACAGAGAAGTAAAGACCTGAGTGACATCATAACAGAGAGAAGTAAAGACCTGAGTGACATCATAACAGAGAAGTAAAGACCTGAGTGACATCATAACAGAGAAGTAAAGACCTGAGTGACATCATAACAGAGAAGTAAAGACCTGAGTGACATCATAACAGAGAAGTAAAGACCTGAGTGACATCATAACAGAGAAGTAAAGACCTGAGTGACATCATAACAGAGAGAAGTAAAGACCTGAGTGACATCATAACAGAGAAGTAAAGACCTGAGTGACATCATAACAGAGAAGTAAAGACCTGAGTGACATCATAACAGAGAAGTAAAGACCTGAGTGACATCATAACAGAGAAGTAAAGACCTGAGTGACATCATAACAGAGAAGTAAAGACCTGAGTGACATCATAACAGAGAAGTAAAGACCTGAGTGACATCATAACAGAGAAGTAAAGACCTGAGTGACATCATAACAGAGAAGTAAAGACCTGAGTGACATCATAACAGAGAAGTAAAGACCTGAGTGACATCATAACAGAGAAGTAAAGACCTGAGTGACATCATAACAGAGAGAAGTAAAGACCTGAGTGACATCATAACAGAGAAGTAAAGACCTGAGTGAGATCATAACAGAGAAGTAAAGACCTGAGTGACATCATAACAGAGAGAAGTAAAGACCTGAGTGACATCATAACAGAGAAGTAAAGACCTGAGTGACATCATAACAGAGAAGTAAAGACCTGAGTGACATCATAACAGAGAAGTAAAGACCTGAGTGACATCATAACAGAGAGAAGTAAAGACCTGAGTGACATCATAACAGAGAAGTAAAGACCTGAGTGACATCATAACAGAGAGAGTAAAGACCTGAGTGACATCATAACAGAGAGTAAAGACCTGAGTGACATCATAACAGAGAAGTAAAGACCTGAGTGACATCATAACAGAGAAGTAAAGACCTGAGTGACATCATAACAGAGAAGTAAAGACCTGAGTGACATCATAACAGAGAAGTAAAGACCTGAGTGACATCATAACAGAGAAGTAAAGACCTGAGTGACATCATAACAGAGAAGTAAAGACCTGAGTGACATCATAACAGAGAAGTAAAGACCTGAGTGACATCATAACAGAGAAGTAAAGACCTGAGTGACATCATAACAGAGAAGTAAAGACCTGAGTGACATCATAACAGAGAAGTAAAGACCTGAGTGACATCATAACAGAGAAGTAAAGACCTGAGTGACATCATAACAGAGAAGTAAAGACCTGAGTGACATCATAACAGAGAAGTAAAGACCTGAGTGACATCATAACAGAGAAGTAAAGACCTGAGTGACATCATAACAGAGAAGTAAAGACCTGAGTGACATCATAACAGAGAAGTAAAGACCTGAGTGACATCATAACAGAGAAGTAAAGACCTGAGTGACATCATAACAGAGAAGTAAAGACCTGAGTGACATCATAACAGAGAAGTAAAGACCTGAGTGACATCATAACAGAGAAGTAAAGACCTGAGTGACATCATAACAGAGAAGTAAAGACCTGAGTGACATCATAACAGAGAAGTAAAGACCTGAGTGACATCATAACAGAGAGAGTAAAGACCTGAGTGACATCATAACAGAGAAGTAAAGACCTGAGTGACATCATAACAGAGAGAAGTAAAGACCTGAGTGACATCATAACAGAGAAGTAAAGACCTGAGTGACATCATAACAGAGAAGTAAAGACCTGAGTGACATCATAACAGAGAAGTAAAGACCTGAGTGACATCATAACAGAGAAGTAAAGACCTGAGTGACATCATAACAGAGAAGTAAAGACCTGAGTGACATCATAACAGAGAAGTAAAGACCTGAGTGACATCATAACAGAGAAGTAAAGACCTGAGTGACATCATAACAGAGAAGTAAAGACCTGAGTGACATCATAACAGAGAAGTAAAGACCTGAGTGACATCATAACAGAGAAAGTAAAGACCTGAGTGACATCATAACAGAGAAGTAAAGACCTGAGTGACATCATAACAGAGAAGTAAAGACCTGAGTGACATCATAACAGAGAAGTAAAGACCTGAGTGACATCATAACAGAGAAGTAAAGACCTGAGTGACATCATAACAGAGAAGTAAAGACCTGAGTGACATCATAACAGAGAGAAGTAAAGACCTGAGTGACATCATAACAGAGAAGTAAAGACCTGAGTGACATCATAACAGAGAAGTAAAGACCTGAGTGACATCATAACAGAGAAGTAAAGACCTGAGTGACATCATAACAGAGAAGTAAAGACCTGAGTGACATCATAACAGAGAAGTAAAGACCTGAGTGACATCATAACAGAGAGAAGTAAAGACCTGAGTGACATCATAACAGAGAAGTAAAGACCTGAGTGACATCATAACAGAGAAGTAAAGACCTGAGTGACATCATAACAGAGAAGTAAAGACCTGAGTGACATCATAACAGAGAGAAGTAAAGACCTGAGTGACATCATAACAGAGAAGTAAAGACCTGAGTGACATCATAACAGAGAAGTAAAGACCTGAGTGACATCATAACAGAGAAGTAAAGACCTGAGTGACATCATAACAGAAGTAAAGACCTGAGTGACATCATAACAGAGAAGTAAAGACCTGAGTGACATCATAACAGAGAAGTAAAGACCTGAGTGACATCATAACAGAGAAGTAAAGACCTGAGTGACATCATAACAGAGAAGTAAAGACCTGAGTGACATCATAACAGAGAAAGTAAAGACCTGAGTGACATCATAACAGAGAAGTAAAGACCTGAGTGACATCATAACAGAGAAGTAAAGACCTGAGTGACATCATAACAGAGAAGTAAAGACCTGAGTGACATCATAACAGAGAAGTAAAGACCTGAGTGACATCATAACAGAGAAGTAAAGACCTGAGTGACATCATAACAGAGAAGTAAAGACCTGAGTGACATCATAACAGAGAAGTAAAGACCTGAGTGACATCATAACAGAGAAGTAAAGACCTGAGTGACATCATAACAGAGAAGTAAAGACCTGAGTGACATCATAACAGAGAAGTAAAGACCTGAGTGACATCATAACAGAGAAGTAAAGACCTGAGTGACATCATAACAGAGAAGTAAAGACCTGAGTGACATCATAACAGAGAAGTAAAGACCTGAGTGACATCATAACAGAGAAGTAAAGACCTGAGTGACATCATAACAGAGAAGTAAAGACCTGAGTGACATCATAACAGAGAAGTAAAGACCTGAGTGACATCATAACAGAGAAGTAAAGACCTGAGTGACATCATAACAGAGAGAAGTAAAGACCTGAGTGACATCATAACAGAGAAGTAAAGACCTGAGTGACATCATAACAGAGAAGTAAAGACCTGAGTGACATCATAACAGAGAAGTAAAGACCTGAGTGACATCATAACAGAGAAGTAAAGACCTGAGTGACATCATAACAGAGAAGTAAAGACCTGAGTGACATCATAACAGAGAAGTAAAGACCTGATAAGTGAGGGCCTGTCTTACTGAACGTTGGCCAAAGGTTCGATACCTTTCTGATCCCTTGTGTTTTACAATAAGCTCCGCCCTCCTTTCCAAACATTTTAGACAGTTTGAGTTTGTCAGTAAATGAGCCAATCAGGTGTCTAGGACTTCACCTGACCTTATGTTGTTTTGTTGCCATGGTAACTGTACAGTTACAGTGTTCATTCAGCTGCAGCGGCGTGTTTGTGACAGCAGGGTGCAGCAGAGCCCTGATCTATAGATCCAGATTCACTAGAACAGATCCAGTGTAACAAATGTTGTTTAGTGTCCTACACACATCTTTACAGTACATTTAAACTGAGAAGGCGTCATGTTCTGTTTAATCAATAACACATTTAAGTCACAGACTTGATCACGTCATCACAGGTCAGGAAATTGAGGGAAAAAAATATATATATATAGATCTGTGTTTATAGATCGTGTTTATAGATCTGTGTTTATAGATCTGTGTTTATAGTTTTGTTTATAGATCTGTGTTTATAGTTTGTTTATAGATCTGTGTTTATAGATCTGTGTTTATAGATCTGTGTTTATAGTTTTGTTTATAGATCTGTGTTTATAGATCTGTTTATAGATCTGTTCACATGTTTATAGATCTGTGTTTATAGATCTGTTCACGTGTTTATAGATCTGTTTATAGATCTGTGTTTATAGATCTGTTCACATGTTTATAGATCTGTGTTTATAGATCTGTTTATAGATCTGTTCACATGTTTATAGATCTGTGTTTATAGATCTGTTCATGTGTTTATAGATCTGTTTATAGATCTGTGTTTATAGATCTGTTCACATGTTTATAGATCTGTGTTAATAGATCTGTTTATAGATCTGTTTATAGATCTGTGTTTATAGATCTTTTCACATGTTTATAGATCTGTTCACATGTTTATAGATCTGTTCATATGTTTATAGATCTGTTTATAGATCTGTGTTTATAGATCTGTTCATATGTTTATAGATCTGTTTATAGATCTGTGTTTATAGATCTGTTCATATGTTTATAGATCTGTTTATAGATCTGTGTTTATAGATCTGTTCATATGTTTATAGATCTGTTTATAGATCTGTGTTTATAGATCTGTTTATAGATCTGTTCACGTGTTTATAGATCTGTTCACATGTTTATAGATCTGTGTTAATAGATCTGTTTATAGATCTGTGTTTATAGATCTGTGTTTATAGATCTTTTCACATGTTTATAGATCTGTTCACATGTTTATAGATCTGTGTTAATAGATCTGTTTATGATCTGTGTTTATAGATCTGTGTTTATAGATCTGTTCACGTGTTTATAGATCTGTGTTAATAGATCTGTGTTTATAGATCTGTGTTTATAGATCTTTTCACGTGTTTATAGATCTGTTCACATGTTTATAGATCTGTGTTAATAGATCTGTTTATAGATCTGTGTTTATAGATCTGTGTTTATAGATCTGTTCACGTGTTTATAGATCTGTTTATAGATCTGTGTTTATAGATCTGTTCACATGTTTATAGATCTGTGTTAATAGATCTGTTTATAGATCTGTGTTTATAGATCTATGTTTATAGATCTTTTCACATGTTTATAGATCTGTTTATAGATCTGTGTTTATAGATCTGTGTTTATAGATCTGTTCACGTGTTTATAGATCTGTTTATAGATCTGTGTTTATAGATCTGTTCACATGTTTATAGATCTGTGTTAATAGATCTGTTTATAGATCTGTGTTTATAGATCTGTGTTTATAGATCTGTCACCTGTTTATAGATCTGTTTATTGATGTGTTTATAGATCTGTGTTTATAGATGTGTTTATAGATCTGTTTATAGATGTGTTTATAGATCTGTGTTTATAGATGTGTTTATAGATGTGTTTATAGATCTGTTTATAGATCTTGTTTATAGATGTGTTTATAGATCTGTGTTTATAGATCTGTTTATAGATCTGTGTTTATAGATGTGTTTATAGATCTGTTCACATGTCTAGATCTGTGTTAATAGATCTGTTTATAGCTCTGTTTATAGATCTGTTCACATGTTTATAGATCCGTTTATAGATCTGTTTATAGATCTGTATTAATAGATCTGTTCACCTGTTTATAGATCTGTTTTTAGATCTGTGTTTATAGATCTGTTCACCTGTTTATAGATCTGTGTTCATAGATCTGTTTTTAGATCTGTGTTTATAGATCTGTTCACCTGTTTATAGATCTGTTTATAGATCTGTTCATAGATCTGTGTGTATAGATCTGTGTTTATAGATCTGTTCACGTCTCTCCTGCTGCAGGCTCGTCTCAGATGCTGCTTGAGTGTTTTGCAGTCAGACCCGATGGACCAGACGGGGCGCTCTCTTGCAGCACTGCAACCCCAACCGGACCAGAACCAGGACCATCCAACCGGCTGTCAAACTGTCCCCTGAACTCACCTCGACCCGGTCCAGGTCCCAGAAGAGACCGCCCCCAAACACCACCGCCAAGAGGAGACGGGCTCAACGAGGCCGCCGCCGCAGAAGCCACGTGTCACCTGACCCCGACCTCCAGGAAGAGGAAGAGGAGGAGGAGGAGGGGGTGGGGGAGGAAGAGGAGGGGGACACAGGTGATCCCACCTGGTCTCCACCTGAGAGAGGTGAGGTCATCACCAGCATCAGTGTTGCATTTCAGTTTTTCAATGTGTTTGATTCACTCTTTACACTCCGTGCCCCCCCCCCCCCCCCCCCCCCCACACCAGACCTCATCGCTCCCCAGTCTCCCGCCGTCCAGCTGGACTCAGACTCCCAGCATGCACCTCTCCTGGGGGTGAAGCTGGAGCCCGACAGCACGGTGTGCGATGTTTGTGGGAAAGTGATGAAGAACAAGTCGAGCCTGGCGCGTCACGCCTTCATCCACACGGGGAACAAACCGTTCGCCTGCCACTTGTGCGAGATGCGATTCAACCGCCGCGACAACCTGCAGCACCACCTGAGCAGGCTCCACCCCAACGGCGTCGCCAAGCTGGAGAAGCAGCGTAACGTGCAGGCGTGGCTCTGTGCCGTCTGCGGCAAAACCTTCAACTGCAGGTCGAGACTGAAAACACACGAGGTCATCCACTCGGGGGTCAAACCGCACCGCTGCGACCTCTGCCCCAAAACCTACATGAGGACCAACGACCTCGAGCACCACAAGAAGGTCGTCCATGTGGACGGCGGCACCGAGGCTCAGCGGCCGCGCTCGCTGCTCTGTGACCTCTGTGGGAAAGAGTTCAAATGTAGGTCACAGCTGGCGCTCCACTTCCTGTCTCACACCGGAGAGAGGCCACACCTCTGTGACATCTGCGGGCGCAAGTTCAGCCGTCAGTACCAGCTCAAACGCCACGACATCCTGGTGCACGCCAACAGAGTGGACGGCGAGGAGAACGTGGCGCCCGACGCGCCGTTTGCATGTGACGTCTGCGGGAAGCGTTTGAAATCAGAGGCGCTGCTTTCCGCTCACACTCGCATCCACTCCGGAGACAAACCGCACCGCTGCGGCGTCTGTCTGCGCAGCTTCCAGCGCGCCACCTGCCTGAAGCAGCACCACGTACGGGTTCACCTGAGGGCCAAGCAGGGGCAGCGCGTGGCGGGCCGCAGGAAGAGCTCGACCACGCTGAAGGAGTTCCCGTGTCCCGTCTGCGCCAAAGTCTTCAAGTTCAGATCTCTGCTGGCGAGTCACTCGCTCGTCCACAGCGAGGAGCGACCGTACGCCTGCGACTTCTGCAGCCGCAGCTTCAGACGCCACAGCCACCTGAAGAGGCACCGCCACGTCGTGCACGCCAACGGAGCGCGCCCGCCACAGAGCTTTGTGTGCCACATCTGCGGGAAGGACAAGAAGTGCCGCTCGCAGCTCGCCAGACACGTCATCATCCACACGGGCGAGCGGCCGTACACCTGCGACCTCTGCCCTGCTCGCTTCAACCGCAGCGGGAACCTGCAGCAGCACAGGAAACGCATGCATGGCGTGGGGGCGGAGCCTGCAGAGGAAGCCCCGCCCATCCTGTTTGATGATGACATGACACCTGCACTGACCTACAAACAGGAAGAGACGGTGGTTGCCGTGGACGCTGAAGTCTGTGACGAGACGAGTCTGCAGCTCGTCAACATCTGAACAAAAACAAACAAATAAACAAATACACTTCCTGTTTGAACTCTGAACTGATCTGATGTTCTCAAAGGTTCTGTAGAGAGAGAGAGAGAGAGAGAGAGAGAGAGAGAGAGAGAGAGAGAACCTCCTCTCGGAGTCAGTGTGTATTTGTGTGTATTGTGTTCTTGTGCGTCTGTAATAAATATGATCGATGATGTCAGTCAAGTCAACTTTATTTATACAGCACATTTATAACAGCTGAGGACCAAAAAACTTTACATCCAAAACATCATAAAACACGTAAAAGCAAAATTAAAAGTAAATTAAAACACAAAACAATAGTAAAAGTTCTAGCAGACACTGCTGCTGGGATAAAACACTCAACTAGAGGTAAAAGCCAAGGAAGAGAAATGGGTTTTTAAAAATGACTTAAACTGTTCAGTTGTGGCAGCAGATCTTATTTTAAATGGTAATCTGTTCCAAAGTGTCGGAGCTGCAACAGAAAAGGCTCGATCGCCCCTCGTTTGGAGCCTTGTTTTAGGCCCGTCCAGGAGCAGCCGGTTGGAGGACCTTAGTGCTCTGGATGGAGCATGAACATGTCGTAGTTCACTTAGGTAATGAGGTGTTGAGCCATTTAATGATTTAAAAGCCAGAAGTAAATTTTAAAATCAATCCTGTAGCGAACAGGAAGCCAGTGGAGAGAACGGAGCACAGGGTTATGTGGTCCCTATTTTTGTGCCTGTTAGGAGGCGAGCAGCCGCATTTTGGACAAGCTGCAGGCGTTGGATGGATGACTGGTCCAAGCCCACATATAGTGAGTTGCAGTAGTCCAGGCGAGATGTTATGAATGCATGTATTACTGTTTCTAGATCATTGGCAGGGAGGTATGATTTTATTTTGGCTATAAGTCTGAGCTGGTAAAAACTAGATCTCACAACAGTGGATATCTGTTTGCCAAATTTAAAAACATGATCAAAGTGCACACCAAGACTCTTTACAGATTTTTTCATATTAACAGCAAGAGGACCAAACGTTTCTACAGCACCAGGTTCTCCAAACACAATGACCTCTGTCTTATTGGGACTGAGTTTGAGGAAGTTTAGGGTCATCCAGGTTTCAATGTCTTTAAGGCAGTCGAGTAAGGGTTGTGGTGAACCCTTGCATTTCAAAGGCATGTAGACCTGTACATCGTCAGCAGAAAAAAGTGAAAAGATATATTGTATTTTGCAAAAATTGATCCCAGTGGTAGTATATATAATGACAACAGCAGGTTGTTTGAAGGCAGCTGGAACACAACCAGATACAAGACAGGTGTTTATCAATGTATGAATTGAGGTGCCAACTGTATCAAATATTTTCTTAAGGAGACGAGAGGGGAGGCTAAGGGGCAGTTAGTGGGCCGAAGATGGTGAACAATCTCAGATAGACAGGACATTGAAATGGGCTCCAGCTGGTCCAAAACAGCTAGGCACATAGGAGGAACAGACGGGTCAGGTTCAGTGGGTGTGATTAGGGAGGATCTAAGGACTGATATTTTTTCTACAAAAAAATGAAGAAAAGTGTTACAGAGAGTAGAGGAGGGTGCAGCAGAATTATTGTCACATGGATTTATAAGATATTTACAGATATACAATATCTGTGGTTTATGGCAGTTATTTGAAATGAACACTGTTTTTGCAGTTTGAACAGCTTGTCGATAGCTCAAAAGGCAAGTTTGTAACATTTGGAATGACAAAAAAATGGTAATCAACTGGGTTGCAAGGAAGTTACTGTAAAATTAACGGTATATTGCTGTAGCTGAAGTTAGCTACCGTTTTTATAAATACAGCAAAAAGCTGTGATTTTAAACCTCAACAGGAACATACTGTTGAAAAGATTAGCAGTTTATTACCGTTTATTTACACTTCTTCATAAGAGGTATATTTGCAGATTTTTACTGTAAATTCTAGCAAAATACTACACCTTGCTGTTAATTCATTTCCTTCTAGCAAAATTGACACATTATATTTATTTTTCTAAACCTAGTGATTTGATAAATTACTCCTTGCATGTCATGTTATAAACACCATGTTTTAATGTGATAAATAAACATAGCCTTTGAAACTGCAACTTAAAATGTGAAGACAAATAATAAAACGTAAATAATAAAGTGTCTTCTCAAACCATGTCTGTCTTTATTGAAATTGACAAACTTAAAAAAATGTTTTTGTAAATAGAAAAAAATAAAAGAAATTAACCTTACGAACATGAAAGTTAGGTTAAATAGGCAAGAATTTAAAAAATAAAAATACTTACACAAATATTTACTTTAAGGCATCTAACAGAGGCCAATTCCAAAGCAATTTATATAAAGTGCAAAACATTTAAATTCAAGTATCAGCAACAACGAGCCGTTATCTTTATAGTAAGTAAAGAGGCTGCCAGGTTTTATATCTATGGATTTTCAGTTGGATGCAGTCTGCAACCTCACAGCATCCACAGCATTTTCCATCCAACTGAAACCCATAGATGTAAAACATGGCAGCCTCTGTGGAAGAGGACCCACTCCCTATATGCAGATATAAAGGGCTCCTTTTAAAGTAACAAAAACACAATGAGTCACATGGTATTATACACTAAAACAGACTTATGAATAATGTATTGCACTTCTGCCACGTCTGTACCACAATGTGCCGGCACAGCTTACACACTGCACCTTTAGGTATGTATTAAGTATCGCTGCTGTCATGCCAAAACCTTCTGCAAAAAGGTCAACTTCTCCCCAGAGGAAAATAGTTTTAGAAGAGATCTTAAGAAGGTTTCATTTATTTCTTCTAGATAACACTGAGATCCATGTGAAAGCTAAATGAGACAATGGCTTATTTCTCCAGCTTCTCACCCTCCAGATAAAATAGCTGCACAAAATCTCAACCTCGTCTCCCTTTCAGTTCCAAAGGAGATCTCATCGAGTTCTGAAATGATTCTTGGATTTTTCTCAAGTTTTGAGACTTGGGTGGAGAACTTGGAGAGCTCTCTCAATTTACTCAATCTAACCTCCCTTCACTTTTTTCAAACTCAGTTTTTGAGTCATGTTGATCTCACATGGAGTAAAAACAGAGCCTTGTGCTCTCTGCTCTTTTAATAAACATGATTTATCGGTGACATGAAAATGTACTATTTTAATGCAATACATTTTAAAACAAAGCCCTATTTCTATAGGTCTGACAACCTAACTGGCTTTTAACATATTCTCCTTTATCTATTTATTTGTGCATGGTCCTGTTATCTGCACTTTTTTTTATAATATTCACAGCACATAGGTACATCATGTATGTGAGAAAATATTCACCATAATCAAACTGCTTTACTTTTTCAGAGTGAGCTTTCTACCTATTGGCCTATGAATATTAACAACATGAGCTACAGACACATGGAGACTTGGGGAGCAGTAAGCTGTAGCAGGCAGACACTGACACATAATAGGTTATGAAAATGGGCCAAAATAAGGTAAATTCTTAATAAAATTTTAATAACCCATTATTATACAGTATACAGTGATGCAATTTTAAATAAATTAAAATAGACAGGATTATTGACACGTGACCAGTTGCTCAGATACACCATGCTCTTTTTAATTGATTTTACATGTTAGTCCTTTCCAAAAAACACTTTCAAAGCATTTTAAACCAAGTTGTTCACTTCTGCACTGTCTTCACATAATAGGTCTTCATCAAAGGACAGGTCATCATCAGATGACTGGTTATGATCTTAAGTTCCCTCCTCAACAAACTCATGTAGGGGTGACCAAATGTATCTACGTGAAAAGGATCTTCACTCTCTGATTCTTCATTAAGGCCAGCGTGATGTGTCTCTTTTGTGTGTTCAGAGCATTGGGAAAATGTGTGGTTGTTGTTGTCACACAAATTCCTGATTGATGGATGTTCCTCGAGGGCAAAGTCAGCAGATTCAGGAGTAGCATGGCACTCTAGTCCTTCTGTGCAGCAACCATCTGGCCTCCAGTTTGTTGATTCTAGACACAAAACAAAATCATATAAAACATTTTACATTTGTTTTAAATGTACACCAAGTGTTCAAAGGCAATATTCATGAGTTTGTGGCTTACTAGTCTGTACGTGTTTATTTTTCATAGAAATTCTGTCCATCTTAACACATAGCCAGTTACTACACTAATAGAGCGACGAAGAATGTGTTTTAAAGATATTATATTTGAATCTTTGGATATTAATTTCATTATCAAATCATAGCCCTATAAGCAATATAACAGGCATCTGTGCAGACAACACAGAGTAGAGGCAAAGACATAGCTGCCTCAAAAACTTAAATATTTCTGGGAGGCATGCTTCTCAGTTGCAGTTTGCTTAACATGCAATAGAAGGGTATGTGGTCATACTTTACCAACTCACTGATTGTTTGCTTCTGAATCATATCAATAATTTACAGCCTATTTTGTTGACTTTCACAAAACTTCATGTCTGTGTATTTAGAAAATGTGTTTTTGCTAGAGCAGTTGTTCCCTGAGTTCTCCACTCTTTGTGTGTCCCGCTGAAAACACAGGAATCATAAGGTTAAGATATTCAACTTACAACATACTTATGGGCTGTTGTGTTCTTAGTGCAATAGTTTTATCTAGAGTCACTCAGAAAAAAAGGCATGTTCGTGTATATTCTTGACAAAACTGCTATTTCAAACAAAGCACAAAATTCTTATATTCTTACATAGTATTATGCTGCCAAAGGCAAAGAAACTACTGAACTGTAGCTGAGAGAAGACCTTAAATAACAGTTAACCATATAACCACAAAAAAAAAAAATCTCACCTTTTGTCTGTAAGTATTTTCTGGAATCCTAACTTTTCTTCTCCAGCGTGAGTCTTATCTTTGTGTCATTTTCCAGTTGATCGAACTACAGCTCTTCCCTGAAATAATTTCAATGGACAAAAAATAAGCAATTAGAACCCTGAGTAATAAGTACTTGAAAACCTTAATTCAAAGTCAAAAAGCCTTGCTTTCTTTAATTACAAAACATTTCCTGAATATTTGAACTATTCTATTCTTAAGTAAATCATAAACACATATACAGGCAGGTAAAAAAGACAGTCTCAACATTAAGTGTCTTAGTGAGGTGTTGTTCTACGACAGGCAGCCAGACCAGCTTCAATGTGCCTTGGTACTGATTCTACAAATCTGTGAATACTACAGGAGTGAGAAACAACATTCTAAAT